CCCCTCTTCAACCCACTAACTGCTCCATTCTCTTCCCTCTGCTAACCACATTTTATTTCAGGGAGTAAACCTACAGCCCCACTGCACGGACAGATTCCAAGGCAGTGAGAAGTGGGTTCCACATTATCCACACACCTGTCAGTGAATACCAGGACCTGCAGACAGATTTTGAATCACAGCTCTCCCCTTAAGTAAATCTCAAAATTGCAAAAAGGACTACCTGCAACCTACAGTGCAACTCCAGAATTGAACAAAATAAGAGGACATACATAAAGAATAGGAGATTGAACAAACAGAAGTAAAACCAATCCCTTTACCCCTGAATAACAGAATTAAAGAAGACGGTGACGTGAAGGGAAGGAAAAAGTAGGGAGGGGGAAAAACTGCACAAATGAAGAAAAACCAAAAGAAGAATATAGGTCTTACACAGACCCCTGGAAATCAGACACTGAGGAAACAGATTCTGAAACACAAACAATGAAGAGCCCCCAGAATGACTGGTTACATGCAACAAACCCAGACATCAAGACATTAATGGAGAGAATTTTAAAAAATTGAGGAGAGACAAGAGGAAAATAGGAAGCAGCTGATGTCAGAAATGACAGCAGTAAAGAATACTGTGATGGGAATGAACAACAGACTAATAAGCATGGAAAACAGAATCAGCCAAGCAGAAGAAAGAATTTCAGAGCTCGAAGACCAAAACACAGAACTAACCCAAACTGTCAAAAGCATAGAAAAGAAGCTCAAAAAGACAGAACAAAACCTGCAAGAGATGAATGATCACTTCAAGAGGCCAAACCTAAGAGTAATTGGGCTTCCTGAGGCAGAGAGAGAAACAGAAGCCACACTGCAACAAACATTTCATGAAATCATTCAAGAAAACTTCCCTCATCTCATTAAGGATGAAAAAATTCAAACACAAGAGATTGAGAGAACCCCTGCAAGACAACAAATGAGAAGACCAACACCCAGACACATAATAATTCGCCTAAACAAAATAGCTATAAAAGGAAAAATCCTAAAGGCAGCAGGAGAAAAAGGCCAGACTACCTACCAGGGAAAACCAATTAGAACAGCAGCAGATTTATCCACAGAAACCCTGCAGGCCAGGAGAGCCTGGAGCCCTATCTTCAAAGTTCTAAAAGAGAAACAATTTCAACCAAGAATAACCTACCCAGCCAAACTAAGCTTCATTAATGAGGGAGAATTGAAATCTTTTCCAGATATCCAATCCCTAAGAACCTATGCTGCCACCAGACCACCTCTACAAGAAACACTTAAGAAAGTACTGAACACAGGAGAAAAAGAAAAAAGAACAACAACATTCTTCATACGAGTACAGGCAAAAGATTTAAAATACACATGAACCAACTCCAAAACCCAAAGAAAGACAACAAACAAACAGGAACAACTATGTAAGAACCTTATGACAGGGATCAACTCTTGCATTTCAATTATTAGCCTAAATGTGAATGGACTAAATGCACCACTGAAAAGACATAGAATGGCAAAATGGATAAAATATCATCAGGCAACAATCTATTGCCTTCAAGAAACTCACCTCACTAGAAAGGACACCCACAGACTCAAAGTAAGAGGATGGGAAACAAATTTTCTGGCGAACGGAATACAAAAGAAAGGAGGAGTAGCGATCTTAATTTCAGACAAAATACCCTTCAAGCTATTAAAAATCAAAAAAGATACAGAAGGCCACCACATAATGATAAAAGGCTCAATCCGTCAACAAGAAATATCTATCCTAAACATATATGCACCCAACATAGGTGCGCAAACTTTCATAAAGCAACTTCTTGGAAAACTAAAGAAAGATATCGACTCTAACACTATCATAACTGGGAACTTTAATACCCCACTCACAACCCTAGACAGATCATCAGGACAAAAAATCAGCAAGGAGATCCGGAACCTCAATGTGACTTTGGACCAAATGGACTTAATTGATACCTACAGAACACTCCATCCAAAGACCACAGAATACACATTCTACTCATCACCACATGGAACATATTCTAAGATCGACCACATACTCGGTCATAAATCAAGCATAAGCAAATTTAAAAGGACCGAAATTCTACCGAGCACCTTCTCAGACCACAGTGGAATAAAAATAAACATTGACACCAACAAAGTCCCCCCAAAACCCACAAAGACATGGACACTAAACAGCATGATGCTAAACAACTCCTGGGTCAATGACGAAATCAAAACAGGGATCAAAAGATACCTGGAAACAAATGAAAATGAAGAAACATCTTACCAAAATCTCTGGGGTGGCCTGAAAGCTGTAGCAAGAGGGGAATTTATATCACTACAAACACACATGAAGAAAATGGAAGGAACAGAAATTCACAACCTAACAAGTCACCTAAAGAAGCTGGAAAAGCAAGACCACAAAAACCCTAATTTCAGCAGAAGAATCCAGATCACCAAAATAAAAGCCCAAATCCAGGAAACAGAAGACAAAAAGATAATACAAAAAAAATCAATGAAACAAAAAGCTGGTTCTTCGAAAGGATAAACAAGATCCATGGTCCCCTAGCTTGACTGACAAAAAACGAGAAAAAAAACAAATAAGCAGAATCAGAAACACAAAAGATGAAGTCACATCTGACCCTGAAGAAATACAAAAGATCATTAGAGACTACTACATACACTTGTATGGAAACAAACTTGAAAACCTTAAGGAAATGGAGGACTTTCTGACATCACACAACCTACCTAGGTTGGAACAAGAAGAAATCGAGACCCTAAATAGACCAATAACAATCAAGGAAATTGACTACGTAATAAGAAAACTTCCTACAAAAAAAAGCCCTGGTCCAGATGGCTTTCCAGCAGAATTCTACAAGACATTCAAGGAGGAGCTGATACCAATCCTACTGAAGGCATTCCAGGCGATTGAAAAAGATGGAACTCTCCCCAAATCATTTTACAAAGCCAACATCACATTGATACCCAAGCCAGGTAAAGATCCAACAAAGAAAGAGAACTACAGGCCAATATCTTTGATGAACATAAATGCTAAAATTCTCAACAAGATCCTAGCAAACCGGATTCAGCAATACATCTCAAAAATCATCCACCGTGACCAAGTAGGCTTCATTCCTGGGATGCAAGCCTGGTTCAACATTCGTAAAACCATAAATGTAATTAAATACATCAACAGATGTCAAAACAAAAACCACATGATCATATCATTAGATGCAGAAAAAGCTTTTGATAAAATCCAGCACTCCTTCTTGATAAAAACCCTTGAACATCTAGGCATATGGGGAACATACCTCAAAATAGTAAAAGCCATCTACGAGAAACCCACAGCCAGCATAGTCCTAAATGGACAAAAATTGGAACCAATTCCCCTGAAAACTGGAACTAGAAAAGGATGCCCACTCTCACCCCTCCTGTTCAACATAGTATTAGAAGTCCTGGCTATAGCAATCAGAGAAGAGGAGGCAATTAGAGGTATTCAAATAGGAAAAGAGGAAGTCAAGTTATTTCTCTATGCAGATGATATGATTGTGTACCTTGAAAACCCTAGAGAATCTGTCAAAAGCCTCCTTACATTGATAAAGGCCTTTGGCAAAGTCTCAGGATACAAAATAAATGTACAAAAGACAATCGCATTCTCTAC